TCCTCTTTGTCCTACTGCCTGAGCATAAGGTAGAAGGGAAGGTCTAAGATAATACTGCTTTGAAATGTGGCATCCCTCTTGTACATCCACCCAGCCATTCTTATCTGCATCCCTGCAAAAATCAACATGGTGAAATGAAACTGCATTTGCCAGTCCATTAGACATTTCTTCAGTGCTTGGAGTCTCCTCTGGGTTCAGAATGATCCAAAAGATATTTGAGTCACAGACACCATTGAGTTGACCTTGGTGGAGCAGAGGAAGGCAGGAGTCAATGTTTTGTAACGGAAAGGCTTGGCAAAGCTCTGCAGTGAGCTTCTCCTTTACTGTCCGTACTGGATGATTTGAATTTGGTTCTAGGAAACCCCTGTGAAAAATAAAAGTGTGAATTACACACACCACTAAACAGATTTCCCTGAGATACCTTCCTGTGATCATAATTTGAGCCCAGCAACTTACCCAAAACAGTCTCAGATATAAAGGTTTCTAATAATTACCCAAACAAGCCAAGTCTTTCATCAGAAGTGTTGAAATGGCTCACACATTTTCAGGACAGTGGTGGTTGTCTCCATGTTACAATCAAGAACTAATTCCACATTACCAGACTACGGCAGTGAATCAAATTTTGTTAGACTGGATAGCCTCTGAAGTACACAGTGGTTCATCTAAGAAGTTGGTATGTTTTAATCCTCCTAGCCTTAGTATTGTGGTATTAGCCAACACCAAGTCAGCTCCTCAATGTCTTCCATAATATAGTAAAAAAGATTAAAGTTTTCATCTTTATTTGTGCATTCAAGTATGCAGCGGCTTGGTCTCATTCACAAAGTTGTTATTTGTTCTGTAGACTTATTTTTAAGTAGGCCATAACCACAAGCCAACAGGAAGCAGACTTAAAGAAATGGAACAAGAAATTCTGTAAGGAAAGGAGGGAAAGTGAACCAACTCCATTTTATCTGACACCTATCCTAGTCATTCTCACTGAGAGCAGGAGTGTGTGTTACTGCCAAACAGAAACTAATTATAAAACTTACCTATTGATTTTATCCACTAGTACTTGTGGTACTTGAAAAGAAACTTTTCTGTTTTCCAGTTCTATTTCGCAGCTCATAGGTTTGAAATATGAAAGTGGCATGCTTCGTTTGAAAACATGGTTTAATGCACCCTCTACACAGAAAGATTTATCTTGACTCCTGACAATACACAAAAGCAGAGCACAGTCATTGATCACTTCCCATGCTTAATGTGTCACAACAGCTAACTCTGTGCAACACTAACATGCTTCTTGTTGAATCCCAGGTCTTGTTAAAAGGTGCTAAAATGCAACATTGCCTGGGAGAGTGGTCCAGCACTGGAATAAGCTACACAGAAAAGTTGTGCAGTCACCATCTCTGGAGACTGAATGGGGCTCTCAGTGATTTGCTGTACCTGGCTCTGCTTTCAGCTGTGGGGTGGGACTAGATGATTGTTGGAGGTCCCTGCCGACATCAACCATGCTGTGATTCTCTGACTGTCTGCTAAGCAGATACACGTTCCACAGCCATCCTCCCATCTCGAGGCCGAGATTCACATTTGTTCTCAAATGGGCCATTTTGACCTTTAAAATGCTAGAATAAATTTATTTTTTAAAGGGTACTTTGGCAAGAAGCTTGCACTTTATCTTGGCTAGTCTGTTCAGAGGCAAAAAAGAACTGTAGCTATTTTAAAGAAAATTAGAGGAAGTTCCTCTCTCCAACAAACAAGATACTAAAAGACCATACTAGTGCTAGGTATTATAAGAGCACAAATATCTTTTCAGTTTTGCCACATTTACCTGTAGCCTGTACACTTATATCCATGGATCGTCTCTGCTTTAAAAGGATGAACATTACTCAAGATAAATCCAGCTCCTGCTGCCACAGCCACTATTTGCCAGCTGTTGTGCCATTCTCTCCTTGGCTGATCAGCAGGTGTCCCACCCTGTCCATTACAAAGAGCCACATGGACCTCTCCCTCCTCTGATAGCACTTCTGCAGAGCTGGAAGGAAAGCCAGGAAACGAAAAAAAATCCTGCTATTACACCCAGAAGTCTTATAGTGTGAGAAAAACACACATAACACAGCTAGAAATCTGTATCATGGCACTTAATTAGCACAGAGCTATGTCTGCCTTACCTATGGAAGAAGTGCGCAAGAAGTTCTCTGTTCTTCACTACCCCAGCCTTTCTTCCACAGTGAGGGAAGTTGAAATGAATACAGTCAAATTCTCTTTTTCCTGGTAAAAAACAGTCCTTCAACTTGGTGCAGTCCACTGAGAACATAACTTCAGCTCCTTCAACAGTAATCGAAAAACAAGACTGATGTTAATCATTATGGAAAATGTTAAAAGAAGGTAGCAGTTAGCCCTCTAGTCCACTTTTAAGCATATCAGAGCAGCAGCTACCAGGCGTCTTCCCACCCGCGTATTAGGAAAACCACAAAGGCTAGGTTCCCTTTCCTCGCTTGCAGAGTCTTCTGCTGGCTACTTGTTTCAGTTCTGTTTCAGCCTGATTAGATCTTAGGGCAAATCGATTTGGACAATTCAAATTCCTCGTGGCAAAAGCAGTCGTCTTAGGTGCGTGGAGCGGTGAAGGGCTATAGAGTGACGGCACAGCTCCTGAGGAGGCAATGGGAGCGCCGGATCCTCGTTCTAAGGGAGGGATGCCGCCGCTCCAGAGCCTTGTCACGACAACAGCGGTTAGAGCTAAGGGCTGAGCACTATCGACACCGTTCCTCTCCCCGTCTCCTAGGACGCTGTGAGAAAGGACCACCGCCACCACCCTCCCTCCACAACGACGGGGGTGCGAACCCACCTTTCTCCCGCAGACGCTGGATGTTCTCCGCTGCTCCTCCACACCCGGACACCTCCTCTTCACTCCCGTAGCAAGTGGCCACAACGTGGGTTCCCTCGGCCCCGCACAGCGAGGCCGCGAAGGAGAAGTTGCCCTCCCCGATGAGCAGGATGCGGCGCACCGGCTCCATACCCGCTCTCCGCCCGGAGCCCGGCGCTGCCTCATGACGTTTCCGCCGGTCGCCTGCCGGTGGCATCAGGCCGCACCGTCGCTGGCCCCGGCGCGGCTCCGCAGGATGCGCTGCGGAAGCGGCTTCGCCACTCGGGCGCAGCCGGAGCCTCTGCGGCCATCTCCGGTTGCTTTGTGTGCAGCCGCTCCCCGACACGGACCCTCTGCACAGAGCCCAGATAGCTGCCGGCGCCCCAGGGGAGGCCAGCAGCTATAACTGAGAAGACGGTGTAGCTTCAGGACTGCGAGTTAGGGCTTGAGAGAGAACAGCAGTGCTTTACTGGCGCCTGTTCTATTTGTGAGCCCGCAGCTGCTGCAGAGGCCAAGGACAGTGTTTCAGGAGTCACAGTGGAAGGCTTAAAATTGTTCAAAAAGCAAGCTCCAACAGAGATACCGCCTGCAATGAGGTCTGAGGTCAGTTTGCCCATTAGGTCCCTGTGGCTTTGGCTCAATCACTTCGTTTCAAAGGGTGGGTAAGTTATTCTGAGATGTGTTCGGTGCTGAGAAATGCAGGATCAAAGCTTAGGGAAATAGACACCATACCATCCCCTACCCCCCCCCCCAAAAAAAAAAACCAAAAAACCCAAACCAAACCCCACAAACAAACAAACCCCAACCACCCAAACAAAAATCAACCAATCAAAAAAGCTTTTTGTCCTCAAGGAGGAGCACAGCTCTTCTCTGGTGCCCTCTGTCACACAGACAAGTATAGGAAGTCCCTCTCCAGTGACTGTGGGAGTAGAAGGGACAATATTCCATGTCATGTTAACTGCTGTTGAGATCTAAGATGATCCTAGGGACTTGTTGATTTCTCTTGCCAGATCATGCCCAAGATCTCTATGTACAACTCCCTCCATGGTCCTTAATGTATGCTACTGGCCTTGGGGAGCTGTGGATGGACTTGGGCAGCACTTATAAACTTTCCCAGTGTGGCTGGAAATGCACCACCAATGAAATGATTTATCAACAAAACCCTCGTGGGGTGAGGTTTTCAGTATATTCACTGAAACAACATTCTCTTCAGATTACCACAAGTCAAAGCACTGGAGAATAAAAAGTCCATGCACAGAACTGAAATACAGTCTGTTGGATCAGTAGTGTAGCTAAAGAAGAGCTTCTGAATGACATTTGTGCTTGGAGATGACAAGGTTGTTTTCTCATTGTTGAGTTGCACTCCTGTGCCATCACAGAACAGGTATTTCAAGTCATTCAGGGAGTGGTATTTGCATTTCAAGTATTCTTGTCTAGCTAACCTCATCACGTTTATCCCCAATGAACTTTCGCTCAAAAATCCTATTTCTTGCTCCCGAATTTGAGGCTAACAAAAGCCTACTCTATAGAAAAGATTTGTGTTTTGTACCGCTCAGCAATGTTTGCATAAGTCAGATTAATAGTGTAGACGTCAGATCCTGTTTCCTGCTTGAAGGGCACTGACAACATGGTTTCAAAGTGATGTGATTTGCATCACAAGAGCAGAATGTTCTCCTCTCTAGATATACCTGCGTTTACTGCAGCTCTGCAGTTTTAAACTGCAACTGCTCTGAATTGGTGGCAGCATTTGGATGCTTGTCCATAACATGAGTCATTCTAGAGATTTAAGATGCAGTTGTCTTCCAGTCAGTTGTTATCGAATACCCACACTTCAAAGGGGTTTGACTGTCATGAAGTTGTTTTACCAGTCTAGTCTCCACTGGAAAAACTTTTCTGTTGCTTGTGAAACACTCTGAAATCCTCTGGCAACATTGAAGGAGAAGGTTCATGCAATTAGATGTTTGCAAAACATCAGAGTACACCAAGTGAAACTAGCAAAGTGTTTGTGAACACGAAGACAAACTCTCCTTGACACACCTGCCACTCAAAGCTGTAAGCAAGAATAATGCCAGGTATGTTTCCCTGCACAGCAACCTCACACAGCTTTTCTGACCCACCACTTTCCTTGTGCTCAGTGCTAAAACAACAAAGTACAAGCTGCTTATTCATGTTTTATTTGTTAGTAAACTTTCTCAGCATAAATAATAAGAGTAGCCATTCAGCATAGCTGGTATCTGATGAAAAGTGCTCTCAAATGGCCCCCTCAGGGTGACTTGGAAGAGCAGCCTACTTCCTTTGGGCTCCTGCAATGGCAGGCTTCTCTTCACGGGTGATGGGGATAGTGCGCTCTGGGACATCACTTTGTTTCCTTGGTGCACTCACAGTCAGGACACCATCCAGAGAGAGTGATGAAGTTATGGTCAGAGGGTCCACATCATCTGGAATCCTGTATTTCCTGCTGAACTCCCTGGCAATAAAGCCATGCTCATCCTTCAAAAGGAGAAGAGAAGGAACAGTCCCAGTTAGAAATGTTCACTCAGTTCCACCTAAACCATGGGCTCTTTGCATAAAGTCCGAGACTGGGAAGCTCCAGCTCTCACAGGAAAACTTTTCAGAAAATTAGAAGAATTTTCATTATGAGATACTCTTTTTAAAGAGACAAGACAGGCAGAAGTGAGGCACTGCCCTGCCTAGGCTGCAGGTGCCTGCAGATGCACTTTTTAAAGGAGCTATATGTGCCAGAGACTGGTCTCATTGCACAGTGGTGTGCTGTCATTCCTAAGATGCAGCAGCTAGACTCACGTGCAGTGCCATCTACCCCCATTCCTGAAGGTCCCCAGAACATTAGAGATACACAGCTTTCTAGTGAGCTGATCTCTGCCCTAGTACTTGATTATTTTCTTAGCCAAAAAAGTTTGCAGAAGCTATGTCAGGATTATAGGCTTCCACCAGCTACAAGTAATGCTGTATTTCCTGACTGACAGACCTTTGTGATCCCAGAAGCTCTTAAAGCTGACAATTCCAGTCACATAGCTATCTTATTACATGTATTCGTTTCCTTCTGGCAAGGAGGCAGTGGTAGGAGGGAGGTGGAGACTGGCAAACCCTGCTGCATACAGCTTTGGACATGGCTTTTGACTTCTGTCTGTCCAATTGCCACACAGGTCTCCTGAGCCAGCAAGCAATGCTGAAAGAACACAATCTTTAAAGATTACAAAGATGGGCCTTTTTCAGGAAGAGGTAGCCTCATGGCAACAGAACAGGGTAACGCACTGATTCATTATGTGGTTTAGTTATTACAGTTTGTTGTTAGCTTGTGGAATTCCTCCCTGCATTCCTGGCCTCTTCGCAGAACGAGGGAGGCCCAAAAATGCCCATTTCAAAGGTGATTTTCCAGTTCAGTTCACAGTTCATGTAACATCAGCAATAAATCTTCACCCTGTTGCTGCCCAGCCTGGGATCATCTGGGCAGGGTGGGGTGTTGCACAGAGCATCTTCCATTAGGATTGGTTAATAAAGAAACCAGAACTATTTGAGATGAGCACAGAGGATTATTTTGCAGTCTCCTTGTTTAACCATAGATGAGGAAGTTCACATTGACTCTATCAATCAGTCATACAATTAAAGTAGAAGTACCTGGCGCTCCTCGTGCTTCCCGTGAATTTCTATCATGTCCCCCTGCACCTTCACTTTTAGCTCTTCAGGGGAGAAATGTTTCACATCAAGATTTACAGAAAATTTGTCCTTCTCCAGTCGCATCTGCAAAACAAGTAGGTGGCTTCAGAAAAGAGCGGGTGAGGGCTTCAGCTTAAAAAGGCTCTCAGAATACAGCAGTTCAAGACTCTCTGTGGTATCTACACATGCAGTGTCTGACTTGGCATTCTGATCTGGGTGGCTTTGCCCTTTGCTGGCCTGTTACATTAATGCCCATCACTGCGGAATCTAAAATGTGAATGCTTTCTCTTGATAGATGTTTTCCTTGGAAGCAAGGAAGAGATTCTCAATCTGAATTTGTTAAAACTGACTCTTCTGTTGGCGTATGGGTTTTGCATCCAATTCTTTTTACAGAATGTCTGGAGATTTCCAGTTTCTGTGGCTGGATTTTGCCAAGTCTTAAAAGCAAAAGAAACCCTGCCTGTACAGCTGAGTGAAGCTCATATGAAGGCTCGCAGTCTTTCCCCTGTATCACTGCTCTTTAATAACCCAAATAATGTGTCACTGTGAGAAGCACAGCCTCACTGCTCACCTCCATAATCTGAGCAGCAGGACTTTTGCTGAAACTCAAAATCACCTGTTGCTAATCTCACCTCTTTCCCCTCCATTTTGCACTTTATCACCTCTATTAAACACTGCTTTTTGCTGCCTTCTGAGGTTGAATTTGCACATTCTGCCTGTCTTGGGCACATCTATGGAACTTTGCTGTAAGAGCTGGCTGTGTCAGCCTTCCTGCTGCATTCATGGTCAGGAACATGCAAGCCTCCTGGAGCTCTGCTCTGGGATGTGGAGGCAGCCTCTGTGCCAGCTCTGCTTACTGGTTTCTGCAGTTTGACCTGGGAGGCTAAGTGCTTCCTCCTCCTTCCAGAAGATTTCTCCACTGAGTGAGATGTTGTTACCTGTGGTGCTTTTTATGGCTGCTTCAGGAACAGCCAGATTCAGGTCACTAAATCAAGGGAAACATTATGCAGATTAAAACAATACTTTCAATCCTTTGTCTTAGAATAGCTCTAAAAGTTACTTGAAAATAAGACAGTTGACTCACAGAACAGGTAAGTTTATTGGAGCTACATGCTTCTTGGCTCAGCCCCTGAAGTAAGCAGCCGGCTGCTTCATGATCTTTTGGGTCCTGTATCTTAAAATGCTTCTCTTCTCAGCAGCGATTCTCTAAAACAGGCCCCTTTTTCCTCAGCGTGAGCTCCCACACTGCCTGACATGAGTATCTCATTACCCCTGCCAACTACCCCTGTTCTGTTTGCTTCTCAGGAGGGAGTGGGATTGAAAGTTTTGCACAGCAGACAGGGAGATAAGGCTTCTTCCTTTATTCCATCAGCTCGTTTGCCACAGTTTGCTTCTATTCCGAATGATATGGCAATACTTGCACTCAGTTACAAATGATTGGACAAGCATACAGAGGTTCTTAATGCAGAAGAGCAGAGACACAAACACAGCACCCTTTTCCTCGGCCTTTTCCTAATAACCACCTATAAGAAGCTTCCAAGATCTCAGCTCTCATGGGTCTCCAGCTCCAGACCCATCAGGATGTGCACACAGCAATAACAAATATCATTAAGAAGGGAAGATTACCTCAGAGAGTCCTGTCTCTAGCCAACTGGGCATCCGAAGAATGGGGGATCTCATCAAGAAGGGACTGAGGCTGGGGGAAGCAGGGAGTAGCTCTGACTCCTGCAGGTGCTCTCCGAATATCTGGTCAAAGATACGACTCGGTGCCAACCAAGACAAGAAGGGTCTGCGGATCAGGGGATTATGAATGGTGATATCCATTGGAGTGCGCTGGAGGTGGCTGGCAAACAACTGTGCTGCAGTGCTGTGCCGGGAGCGCAGGACAGCTTTATACCCGTGCAGCTGGCCTGATCTTCCCCCCCCTTCAGGCCTCTTGAACAGTGGTGTCAGGGATTTTATTGTCCCACTCCTGGGCTGGTCCCTTCAGTGGTGCCCAGTAGCTGTCTGAGGGATTTGAACACATTGCTGAGGAGGAGGGGGAAGGGGAGAAGAAGAAAAGGAGCCTAATGGGGCAGCAAGAAGCCAAACTGCCCAGCCACCCGCCCTGCTCCCCACGTGCTGTTTATCTGCAGAGACCCAGGCAGGCTTGGCGGATGTTCCCAGCTGCTTTGGATGCCAGCAGGATCAATGCAACTCCTATCTTTGGCTTACAGGGAAAATGACAAGGGGCCATTGTTCCCACTGCCAGCACTGAGACTTCAGTCATACATCACCCGCCAGCCTAGGGAGAGCTCTGCCCCTCCTTAAGGCAAAAGAGGGCACAGGCCTGCTTTAGTTGGAGGGCAGGAAAGACTCCAGGAGGTCTTTGCCGAGGTACCCTTGGCAATGCAGTTCTCTGCAGCCCAGTAAGCCTTAGTGGATACCCATTGGTGTGTATGAACGAAAGATGGCTTTCCTCACAGTGCTTCAGCCCAACACCTCTCATCTTTTGCCCACTGCAGAAACCACTTGTCTGGAGTGAGCAGAAAAGCCCAACACTATGACCTCAGAGTAGTCCAGAGGGCTGTCAGCAGAGATAAACCAGGCATGATTGGGAGTTTCCCAGGGCATGTCTTCATTGACTATCATAGTTGTTTAGTCCATCTCATGCCCCATCCCTGGCAGTGTTCAAGGCCAGGTTGGACAGGGCTTGGAGCAATCTGGTCTAGTGGAAGGTGTCCCTGCGAGTGGCAGGAGGGGGCTGGAACTGGATGAGTTTTAAGGTCACTTCCAAACCAAACTACTCTGTGAGCCTCCAATATGGTACACTGCGACATGCCTTCTCAGGGATCCAAGCTACCTCTATCTGCCTGTGCCCTTGCAGTAAGCTGATTTCCAGTAATTATGCTTCTAATACGCCTTCATTCACACATTTATTTTAATTCCTGCCTCATCTGTGAACCTAAATCATGGCAATAGCATCAGCCCAGCAACTGTCCTTAAAGGGCAAGAGTTATTCTCTGCCTGTGTTTGTTTGCAACTTAAACACAATTACTGGCCCAGAGGCACATCATTCTTACTGCTAGCACCACCAGTCTTTTGCAAAAGGTTCTGGCCCTCTTCATCTCAGCGTGGCTGCAAGAACAGGGAGCAGGGTTTGCTCTGTGCAGCAGCTCAGGCCATAAATACCTTCTCCAATTCCCCATTACATCAGCAGTAGTGCACCTGCTCTCAAACTGCAGGGACATGGACTCAGGGAAATCTCTGGTTTCAGGGTACACTATACTTCCCCCATCCATGTCCCATTCCTCCCTCCGCCTGACCACCCTCAGTTCAATAAAACTGGATCTGTGCCAGCTTCAGATCACTGTTAACTCTTGATCTCTGGCACAAACATTTCTCTGGGTCTCGTTACATTGTGCCAAAGCTCTGGACAGGGAACAGTCTGGGCAGGCAGCTTGCAGCAGCACCATTCAGGATGCAGAGCCATTAGTATCTGAATCCTGTTAACTACCTGCACCACTTCACCACTCATAGGAACAAAAGGCTTGAGCCATATGCTCAGCTGCTGGGTAAATGAACCTCCTGTGTGTAGGGCATGGGAAGGGCTGATTTGAGTCCTAAGCTCACAGTGGGGAAATGGGTGTGATAGTGACTTCATGTGATTGTGCATGACCTGATCAGGCACCAGCCATCAGTAGCTACTGCCCTATCCCCATGGGGTGCTGCCCAGCCAGCAGGAGCAGTGTTAGGGACTACTTGAGCCTACTTACAATGAACTTTCCTGCTTGCCCTTGCCTTTGTGAGCACCACAGGCAGCAGAGCCGGGGGTCTGTTCTGCTTTAGCCTCCCTTAGCTCACCTCTGTACCTCCCTGCTGTACTTGGCTGCCCATTTGCCTCCTGCACCCCTTGCTCGAGGAGGGGATCTCACAGGGTGGGAGGAGGTATGGCATTTTCCTGAGAGGTCCCTGACTGCAGACAGTGGAATGCAGTGAGAAGCTTCCGTCGTCACCCTGGCAAGGCATCCCGGGGCCTGTGCTTGTGGCTATTTTGGTCCATCTTTTTATCACACACTCCTCCCTGTGGAATTCACCCAATTAAAACCTTGCAATCTGCAGCCTTCACTCTCAGAGGCAGTGAGTGCTTGGAAAGACACACCATGGCTGCAAGGACTGTCCCCCATGCCTACCCCATGAGTTCGGAGTATGAGTTTGCCAACCCTAGCAAGATCTATGACCAGAACTTTGGAGAAGGTAAGCACCTTTCTCTCCTCTGCTGCAGGAGGGCTGGTGGAGTCTCCCTGGGGATATTGAGCTCCAGAGCAGGCTAGGTAAGGTGGAGCCAAGGAATTTTAAGTGCAAGAACCCAAATGGAGGTGGGGGATATCCAGGGAATGTCCAGGGTCTCTCTCTTTAGGTCCACTTCCTCCATCCATGCCTACTGCTGTCTCTCCTGTCCTCCCTCATGCCCCCAGTGGTCTGGCATTCATGCATATGCTGTGCAAACATGGAGCAAAATGCTCTGGGGGCAGAGGTGGGGGGGGTATTTTTGCAGCCGGGGGCTGTAGAGAAAAGCTGAGCTGTGCTGTTCAGCACAAAGCTGGGCAGTGGCTGGCAGAGGGGAAGGAATGTGGGCAGCAGCAGAACCATTCAGCACCAGCACAACAGCGTGAAAATGCAAAAAGCTCCAAGGAAAGCCTCTTGGACAATGGCACACAAAAGGCCTTTAGTTCTTCAGGGCAGTTTCTTCACCATCAGCATTTTCCATGCCCATCCCTGGCTGTGTGCTTTGCGCTGCAGGGCACCCAGTGCACCTACCAATCCCTCTCCTTTCATCCAGCAGACATGCAAAAGCTGGAACCAGTCCTTGTCTTGCTGGCAGTTCCTGGCTTTGTGGTGGGAGGCCGTGTCTGGCAGGCATCTGGCTGTGCATGTGCTTTAGGGATACAAAGGTAGGAACAAAGAGACTGCATCCATATTGTGCTGATGTGGTGGCAAAACCAAGGTGTTTGCCAGGCCCTAGCTTCCTCCTGTCAGCCTCCCCTGTCTGCTGCCAACCAGCCTTCGGCAACTCCTTCCCCTGGAAACCGCACACTCCTCACTGCATCTCATTTTCAGGTGTGTCCCCATGTGAGATCTTAGCACCTGCTCTGTACCATGGCTACTACATCAGGCCTCGGATCAATAAGCAGCTGGATCGAGGCACCTCTGAGATCAGCCTCAATGAGCACAAATTTGAAGTATTCCTGGATGTCTGTCACTTCCTGCCGGATGAGCTCACTGTCCGCACTGTGGACAACCTGCTGGAGGTGATGGGGCAGCACCCACAGAAGGCTGATCGCCACGGCTTCATCTCTCGAGAGTTCACCAGGACCTATATCCTTCCTCTGGATGTTGACCCCTTGCTGGTGAGAGCCACGTTGTCCCATGATGGCATTTTAAGCATTGTGGCTCCCCGGACAGGGAAGGAGATAAAGGCCAGAGTCAACGAGGTGAAGATAACTCAACAGGAGCAGCCAGTGGGGAAACAAAAACAGTCTGGGGAAGGAAAAGAGAAGAAAGAGTCCTAAAGGCCCCTAATCTGGGCTTTCATTGGGAAGGTGGGTGGGACAGGGAGGGGGAATCCATGGTGCCAGACCCCTATTTCCCATCATCAGTGTTTAGCAGGGCTGTGAGCAGCCATATATATGCCAGATTTTTGCTTCTTAAGGCTGATGGCTGGAAAAAGGGACTTGGAACCAAAAAAAAGAGGGGTGTGAGTTGGTGTGAGGGACTGTAATGCAAGTTTTCTCCTAGGTCTAGTGCTCATTGAGCACCATGCAGGGTGCTCTCCTCTCATCCCAGATGGCAAGGGTCACTCTTGCTCTAAACTGTGAGGCTGTGTCACAGTGGACTGTTAAACAGCTGCTTTGCTCTAGCCCAGAAGGGTACTGGGAAGAGGGAACAGATGATCTCAGAGTCTTGCTTCTGACCTTTATGGAGATGGAAGGTGCTTGTTGGTCTGTAAAAGTGCCTGCAGCTCTCAGGAGGAAAGAGGAATAAATCTGCCTCTGAGCTTCGCTTGTTTCCATTGGATTCATGTTCCTTCTGGCTAAGGTACTCTGCAGCAGAAGGATGGACAGAGCCTTAACTGCTCCAGATGTGGGGAGCAGGGCAGTAGATTATTCACACTGAGCTCATCTGTGGAAATGGCATCAGTGAGGACTTGGAGGACCTCTGGTCATGGGACACCAGGGGGACCTTTGTGATTGACTCTCCTGGCTCAGGTGCAGCTGGAGCTGCTTGCTGTTGTAGGGAGACCACAGTAGGCAACATCCTCAAGGAGAAAAGATGTAGAGTGATGAGCTCTTGGAGGCTCACTGTGCATTTCCAGACCTGCAGCTGATGTTAGCCCAATTAAACAAATGCCAACCCATGGCCTCTGCTTACTTCAGCCCTCTAGTTTATGGGACATAATGCTTGTTCACACATGCACCTTTTCAGCCCTTATGAGGGAAATGAACCCCAAACTGCTGAAAGGAAAGGCTCTGCTCAGATCCCAAGTGCCTTGCTTACATGCCAGCACTCTCTGTAGAGTCACAGGGGGGATGAATTTGGTCCTTTTTGCAGACAGTGTGATGCTACCGGCTACATGAGAAATGTCTCAGTAGTCTTGTGATTTTGGGCCAGGGATCGTGTGTGCTGCTGTCAGTGGCAGCTGCTGCCTTGGGATGGCCCCAAGGGCTCAGCAGGTGCCAGTTGCAATCCTTTTTTGTCAGAGCCAATTAAAGAAGCCAAAATGCTGTGTCACTGGCCAAATATGGGGGCCCCTGTCATGCCTCAGTGCAGCCTTCTCACAGAAAGAGGAGGTACCAAGGTCCCTGTGGATAGAACTTCTCCCTCTCCCTGCTGGGATGTGACTTGCAGACTTCTGAACTCTTCCTCCATGAATAAATTGGGCCAGAAATGCTCTGCTCAGGAGTCTGTCCCGTGAAGCATACCTCCTCAGTTGCTGAAACAGTGATACAAGGCTACTTTTTCACACTTGCCAGGCAAAGTGAGATCCAGATCAGAGCAAACCACTGTGCAGCTATTTTCAACTTCTCAGGGCCCCTACCATTAGTGAAGATCAGAGCTAACTTAAGTGCAGCCCTGCCTGCAGGCTTTATGAGAGCAAGCAGGAAGATCGCTAAGACTCCTTCCCTGCAGTGCAGATCAGGTACCCCACACTCACAGTCTGTACTGCTGAGGGATGCCCTTCATTTTTTATAGGCAATGTCAGCTTG